CTTTTTTTATGAAGTTGCGGCTACATTAGTTTTCTTTCCTGACTTCCAATGTGGTCATTTCAAATTTGCTCGTTCTTCATAGTTTGTATTTCTTAATTGGGCTAAAATTTTGTTAAATGGTTTTATTTTTGATAATGGAAATTTATAAATGTATATATTAGGTGCCAATAGTAAACTTTTGCCGATTATTAAAATTACGGCACATTTTAACAAGTTGTGAATAATTTTCTCATGGGGTATGCCTTATGGTAAAATAAAATATTAATTTGTTTTTGTGGACCTTCTGTATATCTGAAGAATGCATTTTGATATTGAGTGATATTGTGTGTGTGTGTGTGTGTGTGTGTGTGTGTGTGTGTGTGTATATATATATATATATAATATACACAAAATATTGAATATGAACAAAAAATTGCAGAAAGTGTACTGCCCTTGCTAGTTAACTTTAGCCAAAACTAAATTTATTCATATACATACCTAACCTTAAAACAAGTCTGTGATCCCATTCCTGTTGTATTACCCAGTAACTTGTTCCATAAATCTGATGTTCAAGCTTGATGGTTTTTAGGTGTTTCGTTCCACATTAGCCGACACGTATGTGTGTGCGCGCGCTTGTGTAATAACTTGAGTCATGTACACCTAATTAACAAAAAGCGAGTACTTTATATAAGCCTACAATGAAATATGAATTCCTCAAACTGGTGAGGAAGGCCAAATTGTGATTTGGTGCTTATCTCAAGCTACCGGTATACGAGAACCTCATTGCATAGTAAGCAACTAAAAACTATATAAGTTTTCATGGGTCTGGGTTGACTGCATTACATCCAAATAGATGTATTAACAAATGTTTACATTTGTATAAAATCTAGGTGATACCTAAAATATGATGAAAACAGCATAACCCTGTGGATTAATGTAAGACAGTAACTTCACTTGAGTTAGTAACCACTGTGTTATGTATGATTACTTTGTAGAACTAAGTGTTGGAAACAAAATAAAGAACATGAGAATACAGAAGGGAGTACAAGAGGGTTGGGACTTATCTGCAGGATGATCAGTGGGATAATGAAATAAAAGGAAAGTTGGCAAATGAAATGATGGAACTCGACACACACCAATGCAAAGAAGCAATGTAAAAACTAGACCTCACAGGAGGGGAATGGATGAAAGAACAGCATATCTATGGTTCAACAGTGTCGGGAAGAAAAGATAAAAGGCATGCTAAAAGAAAGGAGACATCGTCATACAGAGGCAAATAAGGAGGCATTAAAGAGGACCAGAAATGAGTCTCCCAGAATCGGTAGCAGTTTGGGAATGACGTTGCAGCAAATTCAGAACCAACCTCGGCTGTTGCATAGCCATTTACAGAGGAAAACAGTGGTATGAACCATGTGATCAGATTGCACGGACAAGAAGATTCTTGGAGAATGACAGAATTGTATTAATGCTCTCTGCCCCTTAACTTAATCTTGTCTTGTATTCCTGGGGAGTTGATAGATGCACACTCCTCTATTTGCACTCCTCTTTTGTGCTGTCTAACCTAGATTATGGTTACCCCACCTATTTTCCTGCCTCTCCCTTAACCCTTCGTCATTTTGGTGTTCTACACCATACTGGTTTGTGCTTTGGGTCTGGTGCCTTTCATTCATTCCCTACGAGTTTGTATGTTGAAACTGCCGTCCTCTGTCTACAGGATCGTCGTGATTGTTACTGCCTTGGTTACCTTGCACAGTCCCTGTAACATGCTCACATTTGCTTGTCATTTTTTGACTATTACCCCCTCAGGCCCTGTTTCCTTTTACCACCTTCCTTTTCCTGTACAGATATTTTATGTGCAATATTTCTCATGTTTCAACCTTGCCCCCTATGGAGCGTCCCACAAGCAAAGTTTTGCAAGGCCTTGACCCATGTGGTGAAAACTTGTACCCTCCTACTGTTACGAAATGTTTCTTTGAATACTTTCCTTTGCATTCCATTGTACTATTCACAGATGGGGTCCAAGTCTGCCAATGGTGTTGGCTACTACTGTTTCCCGACTAAACCTGCATGTGTTGCCTGCCTCCTGAGACTAGCATCTTCACTGCGTAACTTTATGCAGTGTTGTATGCTCGTCATTAACCGCTTTCCAACTACGTTACTTTGTCATTGTGGTTGACTTTGCAGTGACCTCATGGCTCTGGAGTCATTTGACCCTTTGTATCCTATTTTGGTCAAAATCCAATATTGGCTGGTTGTTATCTATAGCAGATTTGACAGATGTTTTGTTGGGTTCCCAGCCATATTGGTGTTATCTTAAATGAATGTGCAGACAATGCTACTGAGGCCATTCACATTTGTCTGATTTCCCAAAAAAGACATTCCTTATTCAGATTTCTACTTGGTCCTCAATCTGTGACCATTGGCATAATATAGGAAAGGTGATGCCTGTACTGGTATAATTGATTGAGCAAAAGTCACTATTTAGTACAAAGTTAGGTTTGTCTAACATTAGCAAATGTCGGTTAGATCTAATAAGGAAATGAAAGTAGTCAGTGGTGAGGTAATGTCAATTGAATAAAAGTGATAGTTTTTCATTTGCATTCTAGAACAGTGAGGGTGTGTTTGGGCATTTAGTTGACCACAAAATTTACATTTCATTGATGGGGTTTAGCATTGTATATTTCACTAATACATGTAATAAAGCTCAAGTCTTGGAAGAGTTACTTGTCTTGAAGAAATTGTACTAATTACATATTGAGTTAGGTTTGCCAGTTATTTCATCATGGTGATTAGGATTCCTGTTTAGTTTTAATAATTGTTAATGAATCGCTTGATAATGTGATTCAGTCCTCAAGTTTCTTGGTGAAGCATTAGGTAGATTTTGGTATCGTCCTTTCAGTAGCATTGGTCACTAATGTCACTTGTATTAGTGTGTTATGTCAACATGGGAAGGAACTCCGACTAGTTAAATGGGTGTGCTCTGTTTTCTTAAGATGCCTGATACCAGTTTGTTGAATTATGAGCAAGGTTGGTAAGGAACAAGCACTGATGACATTACTCCCAGTTCCTTTGCCTAGTGTGAAGCCTTCAACAATATCAATGAGTAAGGTTAGGATTTGTCTAGCCAAGGCCCAGTTATGGATTTTGAAGTCATTCTATGTGGTATTCTGGTAGCTATATAGATGCTCCTATTCTGCCATATTAACAGAACTGTCACCATTATAATGGGTGTTGTACCCCGTGTGTGTATTCTACTTTGGTGATGTATTTTCGGTGTAGTAATGACCTTCTGTTTGCCAATGGTAGAGTTTGTATATTTGATTTTGTCTAATACCACAGGAAATAAACCTGGTCAGAATAGTAGAGCGGAAGAATTAATGGATTAGTTAGGGATATAGAATTTGTTAATGTCATTAGCAATGTTTTACCAATCTGGTGACAATTCAATGTTTCGTGTACTGTAGTGTGTTAAGAGCAAGTGTTGATATAGCTTTAATACAGGTATCATCTTTTTCTAGGATTTTTACACTGAAGAGTGCGTTAATTTGTGAACTCCTGTCTCTGAGACTTTAGGTAAAGTTTCTTTTTCATGACTTTATTTCTGTTGGTCATTGGGCAACCTTTAGTGATTTTCTTTGCCTTATTTTGGATTTCAAGTACAGTGGAACCTCGAGTGACGAGCAGCTCCAGTTACGAGCATTTTGAGTAACGAGCAAGCCACTCGCAGAAAATGCCTCGACTGATGAGCTTTCGCTCTATTAACAAGCATTCCCGCTGGTTCTCGGGCACCTCCGACGACAGTTTTGTTGTTTCGCAAGACGAGTTTTCCATGTGACGAGCTCGGTGCCGAAACGGATTAAACTCGTTAATCGAGGCACCCCAGTACATGCTGATCACCTAGAAAAGCTGACGTGATGACAGGGGCAGTCAACTAATCATTGAATAAGTGCAATGTACACGAGTCTGAGAATTCAGATGCCGTTGAGTGATAGCCTCGGATGAAGAAAGAATCTTCCAATTAGAAAGGAGGAAATGAAAAGCATGCATCATGTCTACTCCAAAGACAAATCTCCACATAAAGGGTTCACCTGCACTCGACATATTTGATAATTTGCTAATAAAATATGAAAAGCTCTAAAGACTTCAAGTGGAGTAGTCATTAATCTTGATTTGCACAGTGCGTAAAGATGTATTAAAGTTCTGTTCTTGAATTTTGTGTTGCCAATGATTTTTTTACATGACCGTTTTTTAGTTGGTCTTAATTCAGTGTTTAAAAATATAGTTGACTTTTCATTCATTTATTTGCTTTCTTTAATTCATAGTTTATCCACTCTGAAATTATGATGTTTTGGTTTAATATTGCAAGATAAGAATAATATCAAACAGTTGTACAATATATAGATAAATCACAAGCACCGGTTGTAATAATACAGCTTACATCAGTAGTGGACAAAAGTCTGTGGTCCAAAGTGTTCTAATTTCCAAGGTTAAGTTAACCATCTTGCAATTACACCTTTGGAGGGACACCATTTAATTTAATATAGAAAATGGTCAAAAGTGCATAAGGAGAAACCTATGTATTACAAGATAAACTTTGTTGATGGTGCATTATTTATGGAATGCTATTCTCTCCAGCAGTGTAGCACCTTGAAGCACACTACCCTTGTACCATTCATATTCATTTATCAATCATTAGGGTTTTATTTTGATTTAAAACATTTTATAGCAGCATAAGTGCTTTAAAACTTTAAAACATTATATTTTTTTTAATAAGACAAATAAGGTATTCAACATTGCTCATTTTTCATAGATGTTTGAGAAAGCACCCTGCTATTTAAACATATTTTTTTGTCTTCAAGGATCAGAGAGAGAGGAAGTTTACATTAGTACTAGCTGTAGTGTACTACAATGTGAATGTTATTTATTAGAGAATCCCCTTTACCCCTGAGTGTTTTGTGATCCTCCTCCAGCAGAGAGAGTAGTTATCCTGCCTAGTAGTAATGTGTTGTTTGTTCTCGCAGGTATCTCTCAGAGTGTCTCTCAAATCTCCACATCCATTGGTTTTGTTTCTGATAATACGTTTGATGCTGTATTTGGCAACAATAGTACATCCCAGAGTAAGTTGTAATTTATGCATGGATTTTATTTAGTTTATATATTCAAATTAAAATTTTTATTTCCTCATAATGGCGACTCCTAATTTAAAACAAGTAGGGTATGTTATTGATTAGAGTTGTTCACTAACCGATGACAAATTGATCATAGAAATTGTAAGTTTGTAGGTATTTTAATGATTCAGCTACTACAGATCTAATAAAAATGAATGCAACATACTAATAGCATTTTGATGATGCAGAGCTCTGTTCTCAATGTGTTAGCATTTGTGCGATGTCCTGCATGATGATGCTCAGATGTCATGATGTACAGCAGGCCGTTGATGTGTGACCCTCTCGTCTTAGTCACTGTATACCCGAGTATAATTGGGTTATATTCTGAATAGTATTTGGAATTCAGAAAAGATCTTACAAACTGTAGAATTTTAAGATTCCAATATGGAAGTGATTAGATTAGTGCACAAGGCCGGAAAACAGAGCTAGCTTAACGTACAGCATTGCTTTTTCTTAATCTGAAATGCCAAAATTGTAAATTTCTCCCCACAGTTTCTTGTATTCATTAATGGTTCATGACCCTTTCTGTAATATCCTTTATGGTAAGAAAAATAACACGTCTTAAGTTTAACATTCCAAATTACATAACATTTATTTTAGGTTTATAGACCTTTGTTACTGAACCTTTAACAGGTCAATGTTGGCATTTTAATGAGGTGGGTGACTTTACTCCTGAGGCCTTACATCAAGGCTGTTAAAAAGATTGGAAAATGGCTATATATGGATAAGTGCAAATAATTTAGAATTTGTAATATAAAGTTGAAAGAGAAATAACTAGAAGGGAAGGTATAATAGGCCAGGTAAGATCTCCTAAACTTCATAGAGCCGATTGCTTGATTTCACAAATGTAAATTAGATTGTTGCTATTAGTAAAAATTTTAACTAAAGCAAGATATAAAAGTTTCAGTAAGTTTTGAATTTGAAAGTGTAAATATGGAAGGGTCAAATAGTTGATAGAAAATGCTTAAAAAATATGGTTTAATAAAATACCGTACATACAATAGGGGTGGTGGGGGGGGGGGGGAGGTTTAATCGGTTATTCAGTTCTGAATACGGCTAAATTTTTGTGGAGACGTCTTTTTGATTTTAGTAATTTATAGGCTTCTTATTTTTGTAAGGAGTCATGCTAGAAAATAAGCTTAATGAATGTTATTAGCTTAATGTTATTAGAAATGTGGCATAGTCTTGCTTTTATTACCTTACAAAAAGTAATAATGAATTACATGATTTAAAGATAGTCGATAGTTTTTGATTAGATGTAAGCATTGCACAATTGATTTATCATTAACACTTCCCCACTTTCATAGGGTGGAAAGATATTTGACTGAAGAGAAAAGGTGAACAAAATACTGGTAGGAGGTTATAGATATTAGCAAACAAAAATAAATCTTCCATTTATCATTCACAATATATAGTATCACAATTAAGCAAGCACCAGTACACTGTAGCAGTCATTTACAGTAGCATCCTGCTGCTCCTGATTTTTGGCATACTGTACAGTGGTTTTTAATGAAATGTCATATATAGAGCAAAGAATTACTTTGCTTTCTCCTCTGTGGTGATCTCTCAAATTTTATCAGCTGTGTTTATTCTCGGGCTAAAAGAACTTTCAATCTAAACCTGCTTCCAACACTAGAAACAGTGCCGAGTTCTATATCCCATGGTGGTAATGATCAGTTTTATCTTCAAAATATTCCTTTTCCAGAACCAGTGATTCCCACTTCCACTAAATATTCTAATGCAAGTACTCGGTGATCACTCATTCCTAGAGGGTTTTAAAGCTCATTTCCCTTAAATATTAGATAAAGTCTACTTGGTTTATATTTACCCCTCATTCTTGCAGGTCTTGTTGACATCCTGACTTTTAAGAGTTTCTCATTGTTTCTTCCATTAATTTTTTTCCTGTATTTGTGCTCCCATGGGGTACTTTGCTCTTCAAATCAGTTTTGCCTTGGTTAAATTTTCCAGTGATTAATAATCTTAAACCAAGCTTAATTGTAACTTAAATGGCTGCAATAGTTATAACTAGTGTCCATTATGCTCCTGTTTAGTGCTTGTCATTTTATGAAGGGTTGTATAATCACTGCTACTTGGGTTTTTCAATTTTTATGGTACCTATTATGCCGTCCGACTCCCTCACGCCTGGGAATAACATTTCTTCCAATATTCAGTCTTTCCTGACCAGCAAGACCACTTCATTCTTCTTGTGTCCTTTTGTGCTTAACAGTATAGTTTGTGAGTGCAATTACATCTGAGCTTACCTCATGGGTAAATTCCCTTATTTTGTTAAATGAACAAATCCACAAGGGCCGTGACAAGGATTCGAACCTGCGTCCGAGAGCATCCCAGACTCTGCCTTAATCGACTGAGCTACGACATGGTCAAAAGGAGTTAAAACCGAAGTTCTACTGAACTTACTAGATCCTGCAGCCTCTCCGAGGCACAAACCAGGGTTTTATTTTGTTAAATTTGAATGTAATCCTTTCTCTGTACATTAAAACACACTTCAACACTTTCTCACTTTCAAGCTCCTTTTTTATATCCCCCTGGCATGAAGAGCTGCTGTTTGTTTTTGAAGTTGCATGTTTACAAAATTCCTTTTTGTAAATTGTTGATTTGTCAGTATTTTGACATGTATGCGCACTCAATATGTAATTACTGAAGTGTACTCGTAAGATTGAGAGCTATGCTGGTGATATTCCATCTTCCCAGTACTGTCATATTACACTTTGAAACTACTGACAGTTTTGGCCTCCACTCCCTTTTCACTTAGCTGTTTCAACTGTCTACCACTTTGTTTGCAAAACAAAATTTTCTAATTTTTTCAGCCCCTCTGTTTTCTTAGCACAAATCTTTGTCGTATTGTTTGAAGTTTCTGGTTTCAGGAATTTCAGTTTGGTCTACATTTTATATACTAACTATTCATGTTAGTATTTTGCAAGTGATCATATCATCTTTCTTCTATCTTCTAGTTTTGGCATGCTTAATGCCTCTGGTCTCTCCTCGTAACTCTTATTTTTCAGTTCCGGAAGCTATCTTTTTTTGCATGCTATTGCACCTTTTCCATTTTAGTTATGTGCTTCTTGAGATTTGGGCACCTTACAACTGCTGCATATTCCAATTTTGGTCTCACAAAAGTCATAAATAGTTTTAGTATTTCACTATCCATATAATTAAAAGCAAGTCTGAAGTTGGAAAGCGACACACATGCTCCTCTCACAATGTTCTTTGTGTTACTGGTGACAGCTTACTACACAAAACCACCCCTAGTTCTTGTTCTCTATTAGACTTCTGTAATTCCTTTCCACATAATTTGTAAATTGTGTGTGGTCTATTTTCTCTGATGCAACATTCCATAACATGTAATTTATTCACACTAAACTCCATTTGCGACTTGATGCTTCAAGCACTTACTTTATCTAGGTCAATTTGAAGGGCATTACAGTTGTCTGCATCTCCTATCTTCCCCAGTATCTTAGCATCATCCGCAAACATGTTCATATAGTTCTGTTTTCCTTCTGGAAGATCGTTTGTGTAGACGATGAAAATTTCTTGTGCAAGAACTGAACCCTGTGGTACTCCGCTAGTAACACTCCTTCGGTCAGATACATTCTCCGATTGGTTGTCTGATAACCTCGTCTGTTAGAAAGTTTTTCATCCATGTCAGAAGTCTCCCTGTCACTCCTCCAGCATGTTTGTTTCCAGAACAGCCTCTTGTGTGGGACTCTATCGAAAGCCCTTTTTTTTAGGTCCAGATACAGTCAACCCAATCACCTCTTTCCTGTAGCCAACCTCATCACACTGCAATTTCCTGGCATTTCTAAGCACTTCTGTCATTTGTTTCACTCCATTAAATGTCAACCCTTAAAGGGCAGTTCTTGTCTCATATTTTCCTATTCTCTTAAAATCACTGACATTTTCCTTTGAGTTGAGGCCTTCTTCTAAACTTACTATTTTCTCTGATTTTCATCACTTCTGCTGCTCTGTCCATCTTGGATATTTCCTTTTCTAAATGTCCAAAAATTATGGGCTTGCTTCTAACTGCAGTGTTTTGTACTAGTTTATTGTTACTGTATTTCCTAATTGCTTGCCTAACTTCTGTTTCTTGTTGGTCATTTCTGGTTTTGACTTCCAAACTCACTTCCTTGAGTGTCTTTTTATTTTACAACTTGTGCATAAGTCTCTCTAATTTCATCTTTATACTTTTCTAGTTCTTTATTAACCTCTATGCGAGTTGTCCATGAAGTTTCTCTTTTGCATATCCTTGCTAAACTCTGTTGGCCTTTAGGTTTTTTTTGGAGTTGTTCACCATATGAGTCTATTTTCTTGTTAATTTCATAAAATTTGCCACTCTTCACTTGCCACATCTTGCTTTCTTTCACTAGTTCCTTGATTTGTTCCTCCTGGATCTTTACCTTGTCCGTTAACCTCAACTCCGCCAGCCAACAAATGTCGTTTTGAGGTGTTCTTTTTTTAATTAGGCTATATTTTAATGTTTTTTAATGTTTCATCATCCTTTGTGTTTTGAAATGAAAATAGTTTTGTTTGGAAACATTTTGACATTAACACTATCTGAACATTTATAAAAACAACAAATATGTCCCTAACAATTGCACCATGAAACTTTTGCCAAAAACAGGTGCATAGTTTAGTGGTTAAGGTGGATTCTTCTTACCTTGCTGAAGAATACTTTCTTTTAAAGTGCAAAACTCACTCCTGAGAGCTTCATTTCCTCTAATTCAAGTACTCTTTTTCATACTTCTTTAGCATATCTTCAATTATCTTTAACCTGCCAAGAAAACCTCGTTTCAATGTTATATCTTGGTGTACAGGTTCCCGAGCCTGTTGGGCTCTATCATATATACATTTGAAACTGTGTCTGGAGTCTGCCTCCACCATGTCACTGTCTAGTGCATTCCATTTGTTAACTACCCCGACATTGAAAAAATTCTTTCTAATATGTCTGTGGCTCATTTGAGAACTTAAATTTTTACCTGTGTTCCCTTGTTTGTGTTCTGCCCATGCTAAATCGTTTCTTTGTCCATCCTGTCAATTCCTGAGAAATTTCCAGGTGGTGATCATGTCCCCTAACTTTTCTGTCTTCCTCATCCCATAGCCTTTCCCTGTAACTCGTACCTCTCAGCTCTGGGATTAGTCTGGTGGCATACCTCTGAATCTTCTGTAACTTTGTCTTGTGTTTAGGTATAGACTCCAGGGTGGAGCTGCTTACTCAGGAATTGGTCTAACATATGTCGTATACAAGGTTCTGAATAATAAATTACACAAGTTTCTAAAGGCACTTCTTATGCATATGCCGCTGATATCCTTTTGATGTGGGCTTCTGGATACAGGTTCGGTGTGATATCAACCTTCAGATCTTTCTCTCTACTTCATTCTTGAAGGATTTTACCTCCCAGATGGTACCTTGTGTTTGGCTGCCTTCTCCCTTTACCTAATTTCATTACAGTTACTTGAATTAAACTTTAGTAGCCATTCCCTAGATCATTCCTTCAGTTTGTCAAGGTCATCTTGTATTCTGCCTAGCTTCCCGTCTTAATTCATCTCATAATTTTTGCATCATTAGCAAACATTGAAAGAAATGAGTCTATACCCTTTGGAAGATAGTTTACATATGAATTTTAAAATATACCTGGAAAAGATAAAGGCAAATGGAGGGGGGGGGGAAACTTTCGACAAGCCGCAGGCTTCTTGTCCTTATCGGGGCCACTAGGGTTAGTGGCTCTCGGGTAAATAAGGTAAATATATCAGAAACAAGATGGATCAAAGTACAGAGCCCTGTGGGACTCGGCTAGGGACATCTTGCTACTCTTCCCCTCATGGTAACTCGCTGTTTTCTATTGCTTAGATACTCCCTTATCCACTGGAACACCTTACCTGTTATTCCTGCCTGTTTCTCCAACTTTTGTAACAGCCTCTTATGGTGTACTGGGTCAAAGGCTTTCAGAGTTTAAGAAAATACCCACCATTCTCTTGCCTAATTTTTGTTGCCTAGTCATGGAATTCTATTAAACCTGTAAGGCACGATTTACCATCCAATGCTGGTGTGTTACAAAGCTGCTGCTCTCTGGATGTTTTAAGAGCTTTTACCTCATGACCTTCTCCATCACTGCGTAGTATACGTGTGTACATGTAAATGTGTGTACACAATGCCCAGTATATGATAAGGATCAAGGCTGAATGGAAACAGTTTGTAAAGGCGTGTAAGTGTGTATTTTTACCGGCAATTCATGAGAGGCACAGTAAACTGGGTTTTATGTAGTAGTAATTGGATGACTGGTGAAGTGTGGTTGTACTGCCTTATTCAGAAGGCTATATATAAATTGTTCAACAAATGGATAATTTGTATTTGTTAATATCTATAACCTTTCAATATAGACACCTTTTATTTTTACAGGCAAATGCCTCCCCAACCTACCAACCTATGAATGGGTAAAGGAGAGGACGAGTGAAAAAATGCTAATGATTTTCATGTCATGTCTATTGCATAAGGTCATTAACATGAATTGACTATTATAATTTGAGTAACCTAACTTGCCTGTCAGTGAAACTTACCCTCCCTCCAAGAGATGGAGCATATATGAGAGCAGTATTAAAGTTTTAAATTCAAGTGGTATGGCGTAAAGTTTTAGTTTCGAGGGGATTTTAGTGAGCAATCCCCTCCCCGCCTCCTTCCTCCCCTCCCTCTCAATGGTGTTAGCTAACGTAAATGTGGAAATGCAATGTTTTATTAATTTTAAGTGAATGCTATGTAGTTGTAGTGTATTACCCTCCCTGCTCTCCCATTCCTACTTTTCGTATGTGTAGAATAGTTTTTTCTTTGTTTATAATAGTGATAATTACAAATAGACTAAGTGTAAATGTCCCACAAGTCAGTGAGTACTTGTCAAATTATTATTTGGTATAAAAAATTTTACTATGAAATATACAATTCACTTTGGTATTACATATACCTTTAATTTTAAATAAAATTAATGAAGCATAAAACTTTTATTTTTATTTTAGTTCATATTCAAATGTTTTCACTTCATATGAGTTAGTCATGTGAGGAAGTACATATTATAGTAAGATTATCAGATTATTCATTAGATATTAGGTTTACTTTTGGTTTATATTGATGTGCAGTGTGTTGACTTATATTTTCATGCTCAGAAAATGTATTATTACAAGTTTGAGATTTCATGATACTAATACAGTTGTGATTTGTTCATCTCTGTAATTCTTACATTCACTGAGTAAGACCCTTCTTTCTTGACATATTGAGAATGACCTCGTTCACGTTCTTGAGAATGACCTCGTTCACATAGTCTTGAGAATGACCTGGTTCACACAGTCTTGAGAATGACCTAGTTCACATAGTGTTTAGAATGACCTGGTTCACACAGTCACTTGAAGCTAAAGCATACACATTAGTGTTCTGATATAATTTTTTTCTCTATCACATATGAATGATCTGTATCATAGTTAATGGCTACATTGAAAATTATGGCTAAATGTGCACAAATTTTATTTACTGCCCCTTGATATTTTTCAGTAGTAGATTACTTAAGAATTTAAGTAGTATAAGATCAAAGAAAGTAACGAGTCACTGTTGCATCATGAAATTGCAATAAAGATGAGCTGTCCCAAAATATAATGGAAGATGTTGAGTGGTCATTTTTTAAGAGTAATATACTTGAATGAAGTAGTATATTAAAGTCCATTCTTGTATTTTTTGTGCGGAGCTAATCTCCTCGGTAGCTTCCATGAGCTTAGGCATTATATCATAGGACCTATCAATCTGGTCCAGCCCCTGAGACAGACATTAACCTATTGGGACACAGGGCCAGAATCTGAGTCACAGATGTGAGAGGTGCATGGGGCTCACAATATTGATCCAAAACTAAGGAAACTGTCCAAAATATTGCAGGTGGGGGGAAAAATTATGTTCTTTTGAAAAGTAAATTAATAAAAAAGCTGAAGATATTTGGTAACCTGTGAACAACCTATACCAAAATTCATTTAGTTGCCACTGTCTGCTATTAATTGCATCTGTTACCTCATAATATCGAATTGTGACAACTCCACATTCAGGGTATTAATTTGCCTGTGGCTTTGGTCACTGTGAACCAAAAAGTTTCTCTTTTGCAATGGTTCATTTCTGAGCAGCTCGGGACCATTTTAAGGTGCAGTTGCATGCAGAGCTCGGTTCTCCTTGCCACAGGCTCTCTTTTTTTTTTTCTCTTTTACCTTGTCTGCAGTCTTTTTCTTTGAATGCTCTGTTTAAGTATTGGTGTTCCCTGGTATGCAGTGTTGTTGCATTGCCTACCAGTTTGTTGCTTACTTCAGTTTGTCTTCCTACCAGGAAGGGCAACAGTGGAAGCTAGGTCTACTTTTCAGGCTCTCCACTGGGTATTTACGCTGAAGATGAGTGCTTCTGTTTTTGTTTTGTCTCCAGTGCCATTCAACTTGAACGTATGAGCGAGGTAGGGGTTTCGGTTTGAATTTTGCTCTGGTATACTGTAAATCTTCCATCTTGCCTTTTGTCTTCAATTTTGTGGTGTTCACGATGATTGATGGGTTTGACAGTCAGTGGGGGGTGCCTCACATCTACCCTTTCATGGTAGGTTATCTTGAGATCTTGAGGTTATCTTGAGATGATTTCGGGGCTTTTTAGTGTCCCCGCGGCCCGGTCCTCGACCAGGCCTCCACCCCCAGGAAGCAGCCCGTGACAGCTGACTAACACCCAGGTACCTATTTTACTGCTAGGTAACAGGGGCATAGGGTGAAAGAAACTCTGCCCATTGTTTCTCGCCGGCGCCTGGGATCGAACCCAGGACCACAGGCTCACAAGTCCCGCGTGCTGTCCGCTCGGCCGACCGACTCCCTAGGCCTGAAAGATAGCATGTCGGATGTCTGAGCACTTTGTTGTGGGGTTCTTAGATTTCTCCTTGCAGCTACAGCAGCAAGGGTTGTTCATCCTCTATCTTTTTGTTTTTATTGTTTAATTGGTTTCCTTGGTTTAGGGTCTGTCTTTGATCCCCATGCTAAGCTCATCTCTATGGGAGGGTGAGAGGGGTTAGGTTCTAGGTCTGGATATCAGTAAGTCTACTAGTCTTGGGGCTTGGTACAGATTGGGAAGTCACTATGATACTTGTGTCTAAGTTCAGGGCAGCTGCTTAGCCGCCACCCAGAAAGTGGCGTTTCATTATATTTGGCATTTATTTTTTTCCTTTTTATGTTTTTATAGAAATATACATTTTTTTTTAGCATCACAAATATTTTTTAATTAAATGTATTTGTAATTTGTTCACTTCTATATTCATATTTTCAAACTACTTAAATTTCTAATACAAAGTTTTATAATTTGTGCTTGTATAAAATGTGTAGTTTTCCTTTGGATGGCTTCTATATTACAGTAAATGTAGTGCACTTTCACTAAGGCCACTATCTCATTCTGAAATTTGATGCTTGTGAAGAATGCTGCACTAGTTGACCTCAGAACTAATTGAATGAACCATTGTTGCATGTGACAGGCACAGTTGTGAGCGGTACCTTCGGCTGGCCAGGTAAATGTCTTGCCGTTTTGGCCAACTTTTTAATGTTGGGTTACAGGTAACAGTTGGAAGCCTTCTACTAACATGCTAACATATGGTATTATGACTATTGATAGTCCCAATTCTAATAACAGATGGTAATGCTCTTGGTTTGTATTGAAGAATGTGGTTTATTATTTGATATTGGTATGGAATATCACATACTAGCTAGATCTTAACATGATAACTTGGTACTTTGAAAGGTTCACAGTAAAATAACCTGCTTTTGACACATGGTGTTAATCACAAATAAGTTAGTGTATTTTTGCTGTGAAATCTTCAGGATGACTGTGGCTTTGGTGTGAATTAGCACATGGATGGAACTTGCTACAAAAGAGGCTTGCCTTAAAGCATTTCTCTGCATTTTAATAGTGTAAATATAAATGTGTACTTGTAGGTTTGTTTTAAGTAACAAGTTCTGAAAATCTTTGATGTGCACTACCAGTATGAATGCAGTGGAGCAGGTTTGGATGCACAATATATTTTTGTGAGAGTTAATATTGTGTGCAAATTGCTGAGCGCAGTAGAACACTTGACTAGTCAATCAGGAAATGAAGTGTTCCTCATAAATTTAATTGCTAGAAAAAAATATGGCTATTAATGTAAAATTGTTAAAGAAACTAAAGTAAATATATGCTACTGTAAAATGTAGGCTAGAACTCGAGTATTGACTTAACAGTACTTAGCCACAGAAACAAATTTACTCAAGTTACTTATTTACTTACGAGAAAGTCACATAACTGGTTGTACATAAATTTGTAACTGCAAATTCTGATGGTAGGTGGTTTACTTGTAATAGTGAAGGTGTTTGTTAGGCACTACACGTGTGTTTAACAATTTGAAAATATATATTTAGAAGTAATTAACTCCAGGAAGTGTTCTACTGTTGGCACATATTTTTCATGTGGATGTTCTCAAATTATTTTAATTTTCCTTAAATGTTGTGAGTACTGTAAATTGTTTTTTGTAGATTTTCTTGACCTCAATCGTGTGATTCTGGATGCTAAGAGAATATTCTGGTAATATCATTTATCATGGCTTTTGAATACTAAGAAATGTTATACATTAATAATTTTCAGTGCTGTGAAATTTACTATGAAAAGCAATAACATATATACATTCTATCAGAATTTAAAATGGACCATATAACAGATTTTGTCCCCTGTTGTACTTATTTGCTATAATACTAAACTGAGACATCTGGCTTAAGGAATTGTTGCCCTGCTGGTGATAAAACCAGCATTGTACCTGGAATTCAAGATAGCAAATATTCCAAATCTGTAACTTGGGTCAAACGACCATGATCCAAAATGAATGACCAGATGACTTGTTTCTCATCAACTAGAAATTTATTTATATATAAATGGAATGAAGCCATTTTAAGATACTTGTGGGAAAGTTTGAGATGTGATGGACAGTAGAGGGATTAGGATAGCTAATGAGGCTGTCAAATTTGAAGGGATTTTTGCCCTACCACATATCAGACAGTCCAAGAAAAGTCTGGACTACTAAAGTTCAGATTGAGTCCTTGTCATAAAGGAAATTGTGGCATTCTAAGTACTGTAATTATTTAGTCATTCACCAGGAAAATACTACACAATACACCCTTTTGTTCTCGTATTGGCATCCTTGGTAATATTTAGCGCCCTCTGATTATTCCGCGCATTTGATGGTGCTACATAGCCTTCCCGGTTTGGTGCCTTCTTTTGATAATTACTTACACAATACACCCACAATGTATAATTTGTAAACCCAGAATGTAACATATGACATGTTTGCAGACAGAACTTGTTTAAATTCAGTTACTGGGTCTTGATGGAAATATTTGCTAGTCTTTCAAAAGAATGTTAATGTTGATCAGTGTTCTACTAGTTAAACAATGCAAAAAAGCAAAGGACAGAAATATGGTGGCTGAGAAAAAGTACAGCTTGTAATATATTGAGGTTAATATAAATACAGAGCCAGAAGCAAGAAAGTGACCAGAGGTATAATAACATACTAGATACTGAAGGGAATAGACAAGTAGATTGAGACAGTCTTTTCCATGCATGTGACAAAACAAAGGGGCACATATGAAAGTTAAAATCACAAATTAGATAAAAAAAAAAATTGTATGCAGTGAAGGTACTAAACAAATAGCGAGCTTGAAGAATTGATGGAAGCAACCACCATTCACGGTCTCAAGCTATTATGATGGTACTGTAACATCAGGAGGTATAAATGTAATGGGTACAATAGCTTGGCCCAGGCTCAAGAGCTAAATATCACTCCTGAGACAAAGTTGTATGTAGGTACAACTAAATAAGTGCACCACTAATCACAAACCCAACTTCACAACATGAATTATTTGCCAAGTCACATTTCCCCAGTCCTCCCACCATAAACCCACCCACACAACCCTCGCTCTACCTGACCCTTGCTAACCCTCCTCGTATTCTTCCTCCCCTCCCCCCCCCCCCTCCAACCACATCATTGGATCATTAATTTTCCTATTTCCTATTCACACACTGAAGCATCTTGTGCCATGAACACATCCACCTACCATATGTTTACCCCCACTACCCACTTACCATATGCTCGATGGTTTTCCCCATTGTTAGTGATCGGAAGCATGTTGGATTTCTCAAGTTCCCCCTTACCAATGACCAGATTTTCTCAAGATGAGACCTGCAATAATCGATTGATTCTCAGGTACTAATTCATTGCTTGGTGAAAACAAGCATCAGGTTTAAAGAAATGTGCCAAAGTATATTTCCTTCCTGGAGAAACAAACTTGAGAACATTAAATTGAGCCGATAGTGCTAACCACTGTGGCAAAGTAAAATGCCCTCCTCCTCAACCCTTACTCAATCCCCTACTATCGTCCCTGGCTGACTGGAGCCTTGAGTGACTGGGGCTGCTACCAAGTGGCAGTCGGGCCCATCACGGTTAAGGTTTTTACCTTGCGGTAATTATTATTTGTATTCGGGAACCTAAATTTCTTGAAGTAAGCTAGTTTTGTTGTGCTTATACTTTCTAGTGGTTTTGGGTTGATCTGGTCCCCAGGCTTCCCTCACCCCATTGAGAGAGTCGGACACTTGTCATGTCTCCTGGTAGGCAAGGATGGTTCTCAGACATGGTGAATCTTCCTAAAGCTTGGCTGGATCAACACGTTAAAGCTTGTAGCACTACTGAGGGCCTATCAGAAAAATGCATTTCAACACAGTTCTTCATTTTCCACCCTCTTCCCTCCTCCCATCACACTAAACTCGATATTAATACCAGATTATGAATATATAGTATTTTTTTTTAATTATTCAGATAATCTTTTTTTTTTTTAACTAGGTTTGATATTAATGTTTAGAATTGCATTCCTTGGAATTATTCTCCAGTCTTTTAATGAAAGTTATGCTCAACTATTTAATTTTCAATTTTGACACGCATGCATGACAAATGTGTGGAGCTCATTTAGTAACAAGTTTAGAAAGATTGATATCTGGAATGTTAACGTTTTAAAATCCTTCATAATTATTACTCTTGGTAACACGTAAGAATTTACACTTATTCTCTTAGCAACCAGTCTTATTAGCTTGTCAATTTAGAAATAATTGAAACAAAAGTAGTTGGTGACGTATGCATTATTGGGAGTGCTAGTTTGACTAGTGTGAATGTAATGTCTAAATGGTGAAAGTGGTGGAAGAGAGTAAGCTGTTGTGTGACCACTGCACTACTCTTCTCTTGCAAGCTGCAGTGGTAGGAGGTGGCACCGACTTCGACGTCAATCCTTTCGCCGACTTTGGCGTGTCAGGCACCCCTACTCCTTCCCTTCCCCCTCAGGGTGGTGTTAGCGCTCAGGACACCACCAGTACCATTACCACTGGCGCAGCTGACCTGTTGGGTGGCTTGGATTCCCTGGCAGATGTTGGCAGCAGTGGAGTGCCTTCCCAGGCACCCACCATGCCACCCGCTCAGTCCCAAGGTGACAACCACACCGCCACCCAATGCTGTTAACCCCTCCCTCTACAACCCTCTGACCTTGTCCATATTCTTACACCTATCATGGCAGATACACCACATTTGTACATTTCCATCTATCTACAAAAATACTTTACTCTTCTATTGCATTTATAACATTAAATCTACTATGACAACTGCACTATTATTGTGCAATGTTAATTAGTGCCTAACAATTATTGCTTGTACAGTACTAGCTAGTACAACCACATACTCTACATCTGTATGTTGGCATCCACTTGGAAAACAATAATTTCTGTAGTGCAGTGGCTGACATGATATTCAGACAAGTTGTTCACATGTACAGGTTATGTGCACCATGTGTTTTGCTGCCAGCTTCTTCCTACCAGCTTTTTCCTTGCACAACAGTAATTTTGCCACTGCATTATTCACTTTTTTCACTGCATAAGCCTATCAAAGTTATTGTATTACATCATAAAATTGTTATGAGAGAAGTAATGAGTAACATTATAAATTTATTGTGTGTGTGTGTGTGTGTGTGTGTGTGTGTGTGAGTGAGTGTGAGTGAGTGAGTGAGAGAAATGAAGGCTTTCTCGTGGTCTGACTGCTCTTTCTATGCCATTGATCCTTGGACACAGTCATACCATCAACCTAATAAGGTTCAACAGTAATGATGATAAGGGGGGGGAGGGGATGGCATTGGCTGGCTGACATAGCTGCAGCCAAAATGCAGCTGTGTATATTAAATGTATTTACTGTATAAACCTAGCTATTCTATTTTATTATAGTGCAAGTAGCAAAAAATTACACAATAATACAAAAACCAATGTCTTAAGCAGAGTAACAATGCTTGGTTTTGGGAGTAGCAATATGCATTGTAAGTATTTGGGAAGGGGATGGAATGTGAATGCTATGCTGACTGTATAAATTGACATCTACATTTATCTTGCTACAGTCACACTTTCGAGTGGAGCGACAATGAGCATGTACAATCCTTAATTTTTGGTTCGGTTTACAATCTTGGCTCAAGTGCATATGTCGGTGAAAACTTCAGTATTTACAAAACCCAATTATTTATTCATGGCTATTCCCAAGGTGTGTGAATACTGTGTCGGCCACTGGATGTTAAATACAAGCTCATACTATATTCACCAGAACATCTGCACCATCATATTTTATATAAATCACATCAATTAACTATAACATAATGTTGTTGTTCCCACCTTGCCAGATACACCATTGATATTGTAACACCTGTTGCACAAACTATGTACTATTAATATTGCACATCCATGATACCAAATACTCTCCAAGTCTAGTTATACACACCGACTTGAGCCACTTTATTATGTTGTATCCATCATACCAACTATCACATCATATAAATTACATCCACATTGGTAGATTTTTATAAGCAACACCCACTGTACAGCTATCTCACCATGATATCATATATTTTCCAAAACCTATTTTCTAGTTCTATTAGCATCAATCATCACTCACCACACCATCACAGTACTCCTTGGTTGATATTTATCCGTAAAATTAGTTGTACTCTTGAGCCATACTACTATAACGTGCAGGGCAGTTTTTAATTAAGCATATCATAATATCGATATTCATACCTGCACCACGACAGTTGTACAGTACTGTACTACCACTGCTAGAAGAGATGCTCTTGGCATATCTATACAATCATGTCTATTGCCCCCAATTGTCTTACACCCATATGAACTAACCATCTTTCCCCTCCTTCCCCTCTCCTCTCATGCCCATGTACACCAGTAATGCCCTTGGCTCTGCTATACCCTATACACCATGGGTATCGTAGTAATATTCATGACTATATACGGCATTGCCATCACCATCTGAACCAGAAACAGACCGCTATGAACACTTAACACATTACTTCACCATCAGCATCTTGATAGGTTAAATAAAGTGCCCATTTTAAAGTTTTATCAGCAAGCACTGTGCTGTGATAAACACCTTGACTATTTGTCAGTTTATGTATTGTCACTGCTCACATTTGCACGTAGCATGGGGTTGCTTAGCACTGTGCACTACCTACAAGACTTTTGTCTACACTCACTTTGAACACAAATCTTCGATGCTTATGTATTTTCTTTGTGCATATATATATATTGTATGTTGTCATTACAGACTTTAAAATATATAGCAGATCTAATAGTTGCCAGAATTATTATAAGGTAGTTATATATCACACTGCTTCATGCTATCGCTGCTGACGGTTATCTTTTTGACAAGTGAAGATTTTATTTGAAGCACCAGTGTTAGTTAAAATTGTGGTTTAATAAATGTTAATCTTCATTGTTTGAATTTTTGTGTGTATTTGTCTCTCTCTGCCTCTCTATGTACCTGTGCATGTATTTTCTTCACATATTAATAGCTGGAGTTGGTAATCATATGCTTAGTACTATGGTGTATACTTTGCAAGTTCCCTTTAAAGAGCTGTTGGGCCAGAAATGCATAGGTTGGTAGGAGATCGAAGAGAGGCAATGTGGTCATAGTAAGTTGTTCACCCAGGAACAAGTCTTTGTATTGTGATGTTTAATATTAGTGTATAATGCTGGTACTGGTATGGTTTGATTTTTGGTTCCTTGCATGAATACAAAGAAATATTTGCATGGTTATTAATTTTGAGATGTACTTGGCTATTGATTTTTTTGACTGAAAGAAACAAGCATTCTTATAAGTTTACTCAGTGACCTCTACCTTGCTGCATATGTATATATATGTTAACCCATTTTTAATCCAGTGTTTCTGAAATGGTATTAAAAAGTTATTAAAGAAAAGCAATACAGTAGTCCAATTGTATTGTAATTCAGCATAGGAAAATATATTCTTAATGAAAAGAATCTTAATTATTTTAGCTAATTTTAATTCCTAGTGCTTTGGTATATTTAAACTTTCAAAGTTATCACTGGAATGTGGTTGTTTGGGTTTTATACACTAATTTTCTGAACTTAACACAGCCTTTGATGGATTTGGGGACATTCTGAAACCAGAGGGAAGTATGGGTGGTGTTCCAGCAGCAGCTGTTGTGGGTGTCCCAACCTCGGCACCTTCCTCACAGCCTGGAAAGCTCATCAGCAGTGACTTAGACATGTCCTTATCTTCTCTGGTCGACAACCTCAACATTAAGGGCCCAACAGCACAAAAGTGAGTAGAATTCATTTGCATTGTACAATGGTGGAATCCTAAATAATAAAAGAATATGAATCGGTCTTCCATTCCATTTAAGGGAAGTCAGATTGACGAAGTGAGGGTTGTGGGGAGATGTCATATGTAGCTTTAGCCTGTTCCACATTCGTTCGAGTCATCAGTTGCAGTATACTGTACTTGGTTCTACAAAATCTAATTGACATCATTGTGATCTTGCTGCTAGTGGTGGGGAAGAGGTAGTGTTCACATTCTAGCAGTATCACAATGAGTATAAGAATTCATTGTAGAAGAAAGGTCTAGTACCAAACGTGATGCAATGTGCATCAACCTGGCAGTCTTTGGCAGCGAGTATTGTCTGTGATATTATATTGACTAGAACCTGTTGCTGATCAAGCCAGGTCACAAATATAATGCTTTGTGTGTATGACAAAGAATAGAGGTCAGAAATGCACGATGCTGATGACACGGTGTAAGAAGTGACGTGTTGTTGCTCTCGGCATCATTGACTGTTTTAGTGGCAAGAACTTACAAAAATAGTATATCGGTGATATCCACCTATATAATTGCATATAAAATGTATTACTTACTATTGCAGTACTTGTATAAATGTTTAAATATAAGGTGTGTATAGTGTGATACATCTGTGTCTATACATGATTTCACATAAGACACTAAACTCGCTAGTAACATCTTGGATACTTTTGATATCGTTCGCCTTATGCGTTTTTGTTCTCGTATTGGCATCCTTGGTAAATATTTAGCGCCCTCTGATTATTCTGCACGTTTGATGGTGCTACATAGTCTTCCCGGTTTGGTGCCTTCTTTTGATAATTACTTACTTACTCACTAGTAACATCCTAATTTATCATTTGCTCATGGACAATGCAAATAAATAGGGATAAAAAAGCTTGTTGCTAAGCTGCTACTATGATGCCATCACAACTACATCATAGGCACAGAGAAAATTGTGCCAGACAAACCTGATTGAGTTTTATTGACAGTTACTAAAATAAGACAGGGAAAGGAAGGCTGGGTAAACTATTTTCCTAGACTGTCAAAAGGCATTTGACACTGTTCCCCATGAAACACTGTTATACAAGGTTGAGAACCAGGCTGGGATAACTGAGAAAACACTGGACTGGGTAAGGCAGTATCTGAAGGACAGAAAACAGTCAGTCTGAGAGGAGGTTTCAAGCTGGAAGAATGTAACAAGTGGGGTCCCACAAGGCACTCCTGGGACCACTGCTGTTCCTAATTTATGTGAATGACCTACCCGAGGGAGTGAGCTCGGATGTGTCAATATTTGCTGCTGATGCAAAGCTGATGAATGTGAAAACAGACGAGTACTGCAGAACGTTACAGGAGTATCTTGACAAACTCCAGAAGTGGTCAGACAAATGGCTGCTGGAGTTCAACCCCCAACAAGTGTAAGGTAGTGAGGATGGGAAAGGGAGAGGAGACCAGAAGGCATCTAAAACACATGATTCTACTCTCTACCACTGAAATCTAGAACATTATCCATTTTTTGTTAGAACCAGTGCTACTACCAATGTCAGGCACTTCTCTTCCCAGCAATGATACGCCGCCTTAAGTAATTTTGCTTTTTTGTTCATCGTAAGAAAGCTGCTCCAGATAATGATACTGTATGGAAGAAGTGAAAGGCTTGACTAACGAGAGATAACTCCATGCTCATGTACAGGGAACACATGGTCAGTATGTTTGCATTAAAAGCAAATCTACAAACCCCACAAAAAATATTTTTCTCAAATTTGTTTGAAGCGGTTACAGTATAATACGCTATGGCCACAGTAAATCATTTCTGTAAAAAAAATTATTACAACAGCAGCAAGAATTGTACAAATTCTGAAACTATACAATCTTCTGCCAATTCCTATTAGGAATCTTATCCTATTTCACTGCAAATGTGTTCCATGATCTGAATTGAATCTGAAAGATGAAGCTGGGTAATATTTTGAGGTTCAAATTTTGGAGGTTCCACTGTATGTTCATACTGACAAATATTTTTAAAGTATACATTTGTTTTGTGGATTTTTTCACAGCTTTTTCTTTCCTTGTCAGAGGTCAGTGGAACTCTCCAAAGACTCAAAGCAAGACAGGTGGAGCTGGTTGGACTCCAGTTGTTCCAACGTCTTCTACGGGAGGATTTCGTTCCCCAATGCCTGGCCAACCTCTGGCTGCTGGGAGTGGCCAACCTCTAGCAGGGCAAACGGGGCAGTGGAGTGGAGGAATGCAGATGGGTGCTAGTTTTCCTCACCAACCCATGGTAAGTTATCATGTTTTATGTCGTTGGCATTTAGGAGCCGGTCGGCCGAGCAGACAGCACGCTGGACTTGATCCTGTGGTCCTGGGTTCGATCCCAGGCACCGGCGAGAAACGATGGGCAGAGTTTCTTTCACCCTATGCCCCTGTTACCTAGCAGTAAAATAGGTACCTGGGTGTTAGTCAGCTGTCACGGGCTGTTTCCTAGGGGTGGAGGCCTGGTCGAGGACCAGGCCGCGGGGACACTATAAAAAGCTCCGAAATCATCTCAAGATATTCAAAATTAGGTCATTTTCATCAGAAGTAGAGACATTTTAATATAGTGTACAATACAGTATTTTAAAATTGAGTTCATATATTACTTTTTGATAGAAGACATCTTTTTTATAGTGGACATTTACTCCTTGCCTTGGTATTTATTAAAAAAAATTGAGGGAATACTGATCAGGGGCTGATTTAATGTGGATACCCACTACAATGAAATCTCCAGAATCTAAACTAGAACGTTCTGTACCTATGCAGGACGATTTTGAGGCTTTGGTTAGATGGGCAAGTTCTAAATAAAAACCTTCCCATTTCTCCTACTATGGGATCTACTCTTGATACCTCCCTTTCTCTGCCTTCTGATACAAGCTCCTAAATGACCTTAGCTTGGTGCCCCTCGAGTTCCTTAAATATTGGCACTGAATCCCCTTGGTTTCAGCAAGGACCCTTGGCAGTAGTGGCGATAGTTTCATTGCCCAGTTTCCCCTCTCTGGCTCATCCCTCGTGTTTTTGGAACGATTTAGAGGACATTCCTCCCTTCTTCTCTTCAGGTTGTAAATATGAAAATCATACTGGACCCTTGTTTTGTGGCATAGGGCTTTAAAGGTTTGGGGTTGCAAGAGGCTGATCTTGCAACCCCAAACAAGAGATCAAGAGGTTGAAAGATACGCTACATTAAGGGGATTTCATTGTGTGTGTGTGTGTGTGTGTGTACACACACAATGTATATGGGAGGATGGGAGTGGAACTCGCATCCACTGAAGACCAAAATCTTGAGCTTACATATCAGTGTATAACTGAAATAAGGCAAATATAATACTAGAATACATAAGAACTTGGTAATAATGGAAGGTAATTATGGGGATTATAAAGTGGTAAGCCAAAATGATTGTAGAGCAATTGAAAAGGAGGCGAGAAACTAGGAATTGAACCAATTTCTAATTGACTGGTGGCAATAAGATACCTAATATTATTCTTCAGTTTGATTTTGTCCTAGTTAGACCCCATTTAGATTGTCTTTCATTTTAGGCAGATTACATTCATACTGTAGAATGGATATAAATTCTTTAGAAAATGCAGAGAGAAAGATGAAGTTATTCCTGTGAATTTGAAACCTGTTACAAAGAGAGCTTGAGAACTTAATTTACATTCTGTAAAAAGATGAAGAGTAATTGAATGGATAAATATATTGGCACAAAATGGAACATGTAATAATGAATACAAATTGAAAGGGTTTGGTTTTAGAAAAATCTTGGTAAGTACTGATTTGAGAATCAGGTTTATATAAGATTATAAGAATAAGATTTAGATTTAGAATAAGATTTATGAAACAAATTAGTAGGCATGTTAAATTATTTCAAGCACAAGTTATACTTGTGTGTAAGCAAGTTTAGTTGGATGTGAATAGGAGTTTCCTTGCATGGACTCTTCTATAGTTTCCTCCAATCTTATGTTAGTTATTTTTGTTTTTTAATGTGTGTATATATTTTTTTTATAGCAAGGCATGAATATGGGTAGTGGCGTGATGCCAGGCGGGTTCCCAGCAAGTGGAGCCCAGCCGACTGTACAGCCTTCACAGCCCCCACAACCTGCTGGTTTTGACCCTTTTGGTGCCCTGTAACAGTCGAGGTGAGATGGTACACGTTTCATTCTATTCATGACAAATTATTGCACCATGATATAATAGCCGATGTCGAGCAACAGCCTTCATAATACTTTAGCTATTTTATATAATGGCTAATAATATTTTTATTTCAGGTTGGTGATGATAGATGCATAATATTTGGCAGTAATGAAACAGAACATGAGTCATCAGTGTCACCACGTGTTCAGTGTTGTGGCTTCATTCTTGTGCTCCTGACCTCAGGTTGTGTTGTCTGAGGTCATTGGAGGTATTAAAAAGTGTGCTAGTAGAGCTGATTACTGTCTTCATGCCAAATGCATGTTGTATTTTTCACTTCAAAGTGTAGAATCTGTGATGTTTTAGGATGAACTACATTGTTGGAATGTTGAGAATTTCTATGATGGTAACAGAGATCATTCACCAAAAAAACATAATGTCCAGATAAAATCATCCACATGAACACAAGATTAAATCATGCTGTCATTACTGAGTTGCCTGGTGTCCATTTCTTCATGTATAATTGATATGTAAAATGTTCCAGATGATATACTGCCATTTATGATTGATTACCATTTGTCCACTCAACAAACATAATTATCAACTAGGCTTCTAGTGTATAGCATGGAATTAATATTAAGTAATATACAAAGGTGTATTATATCAATTGTACATTCCAGTGTCTGTAAGCCAAACGTTGAGCCTTGTGGGATGTAGTGAAGTTGCTGTGTGGTGAATCTTTTGTATCATATTTATTCTCCTTTACATCAGCACAGTATGACATTCTGCTACTAGGGTGAAAGAACATTTATATCAAATTTTGTTGGCCATGTGTGTAATAAAATGTCTCATGACAAAGGAACTTGCTCATAATGGGCACTTGTAATGCCTTCCAATTGTCTGTCACAGTGCTATATATAAAGAACAAAGATCAACTGGCTGAAAATAAATCGAAAGAAGTTACAGTAATAGACATAGTTTTTATTCATCAAAATTATTACTGTACTGTATTGGTGAATTCCGAAACAAGTGATACACGGGAATCCTTGCGACTGTTGGCGAGAAAACTGACTTGGCTTTCGTGTACAGTAGAGGCAAGGCTGTGCAGATCACCACACAGGGAAAATCCAGACTCTTATTACTCATATCTAAGTAATTAGAAACACTAGTAGTTGTACATAGGAGAGGATGGTGTTTGCAGTGGATGTAGTTATTGCAAGAATAAATTGTGTGCATTCCAATTGATAGGCACATAGTTATGATTTTAAAAGAAAAGGTGCAAGCCAGTGGATTGATCCATACCCATATTTACATCTTGTACATGTATTAGCAGTGTTGTCAAAATATAATTTGAAGCGTACATGTGAACTTCCTCATTTGGATGGATTACTTCATTGTTGGCTAAAGCATAATTTGATCATCATCCTGCAACTGCTTACCATAAACACAGGATGCCTTAAAGTCTGTCTTCAGAAAGCATTATCTGGTACTGCTTTTATATATTTGTATGTGCATGTGTGTGTATGCAAGAATGTGTACAAATATGCATAGCCATGCATGTATTTATGTACAGTACACACACGTACATGCATGCATGTTCACATATATTTATATAAACAAACACTTGTGGAATACAAGCAGACATATATATGCATAAGTAAACACACAGACACACACACAAAGGTAATTATACACACATAAACACACGCATATATTACAGGCTATAATATAAAAAATATACATGTACTATGTTTAAAAATTAAATTAAAGTGTTAAGGTAATATGTCAAAATATTTGTGACCTGTAGTACATAAAGAATTGTCAGGTTAAATTTGTTTATGCAGAAATTAAGGATGGCCAAACCAGAATTGGTAGGGTGTTACGAAGGCATCCCTTGTTTGTAGATGGTAAGTAAGTGTTATGAAATGCCTATATTACTCAATGCATAGATTTCTGGGGTGAAAACTAAGTGCCACATTGTAATTATGAAGAGTTACACATGAGCAGCACTGATAATTTGAGGTAACCTCAGCCTAGTAGCTGAGCTGAACCTCACCAGCTGATGCTGTTAAAAGATGTCTGGTATCTAGTAAATAATGAGATGTATTATTCCACATGTAACATTTTACATTTAAACTAAGGAAATAGTGTATGGGTGGTATGTGCACATGTGTTATGCACGTGTGTGTATATTCTGCTTGTGTATTATGCATGGGTTTTGTTTTTAATGAGTCATGGTGATTGACCAAGAATGAAGAATTGAGATTACTGGAGTATTTTCATGTGTATTTTAACATTTTGAGCAATAAATAAAGGCACTAGAGGCACAATATGCGATGTGCAACAAAGCAAAAGGTTGAAACCGACATGTAGAAGCAGTGTAAGCCTTACAACACTCGTCATCCCTTAACTCGGACCTGATTGTGTATACTATACTGTACTTTTAATTTCATAATCCTTGTACATCATTTAGTTTTTTCAATAGTTGCAACATTTTTTTGTTTGTATATTGTTCCTCTTTGTTTTTATTAATTACTCATGACTTTAAATACACTTGAAACTGCTTGGTGCATGCATGTGTTTTGTTTTCTTCCAGTGCATTTGTAACATGTTTTTGTTTGTGTATCAGTCATACCTAATGACCAGAATTGCCTAACAAACCAAATTTCCATAAATACTGAAGTTTTCAGGAAATTTACTTTATGCATAGATAATATAATATTAATAAACAAAATATATGGAAAACCTTTAATTTTGAATCAAAACTAACTTGGCAATCTGACCTAACATGGTTAAAACCAGATCTGATTCTAAATAAACATTGTTAATAACATTACATATTTATTTCATTAAATGGATATATTGTTTGCAGATGTTAGAACAATAAACGCTTAATGTTAGGTCAAATGGACTTGGCCTGTTAGGCTCATCTCTGTAGTGCATATTTGGCCATCAGGTATGACTTGAACGTGTGTGTGTGTGTGTGTGTACTCGCCTAGTTGTGCTTGCGGGGGTTGATCTTTGGCACTTTGGTCCCGCCTCTCGACTGTCAATCAACTTGTGTATAGATTCCTGAGCCTACTGGGCTCTATCATACCTATATTTGAAACTGTGTATGAAGTCAGCCGCCACCACATCACTTCTTAGTGCATTCCATTTATTAACTACTCTGACACTGAAAAAATTCTTTCTAACGTCTCTGTGGCTCATCTGGATACAAAGTTTCCACCCGTGTCCCCTTGTTTGTGTTCCACCCGTGCTGAAGAGTTTGTCTTTGTCCGCCCTGTCAATTCTCCTGAGAATTTTATAGGTGGTTATCATGTCTCCCCTTACTCTTCTGTTTTCCAAGGACGTGAGGTTCAGCTCCTTTAGCCTTTCCTTGTAGCTCATACCTCTCAGTTCCAGGACGAGTCTGGTGGCATACCGCTGAATCTTCTCTAACTTTGTCTTGTGTTTAACTAGATATGGACTCCAGGCTGGAGCTGTGTGTGTGTATGTATGTATGTTTGTATGTATGAATAATGCAGACAAAATTTTGCTGTGTGTGTTTAAGGTTAAGCAGAACAGATGTATGCCTAAAAATCCTAACTACAAACCCTGTTCTCTAGTGTTCAAAATGTGCATATACATATTGTACATGTTCATCATCTCCAGTGTGCTGATACTACTGTGACCCAGTTACATAAACTTATTAGTGAGGGTTCAAAATATAGTATAGTATATCTATAAATTTCTTCAATGCTTCAATATTCTCTGTTCCTCTCCAATCCCCCTCCTACTTAATTTCAAGTGTCTTTTAAATCTATAATTTATTTCTGCATCTGTCTGGATAATGGAGGTGCTTGCTTATCAGAGTATCCAGTTGGACTATTTTAGCTTCGTTCTAGGGATTTCTTACTTGCTTATATACTCCAGGAAAGAGACCAGAGGCAGGCCAAGTATTTACTGACCATTTTTCAGTTAGCTGTGTAATACTTTGTCAAGTGATTCATTGAGTTCAATTACCTGACAATTATGAGCAATTCTTAACTGTACAGTATATGACTGACCATGTTAAAAAAAAAAATAAGCAAATATGTTAGGCCTTGTGAAGAACATGTAGGTATTTAGTCCGTTGAAATCCCTCGGGTCTTTGTTAAGCCCAATCACAAGCCATTAGTATTTGTGCTTGTAATTATCAGAATGATTGCTTTCACCTCTGATCTAGTCTGCTTAACTAAGTGTGCCACTAAAGATCTTTCTCTTACAAATTATAAATTTGCTCTGCATTTTCTTAATCCAGTTGTAAAAATAATCCTCTCTCAGCAGCTGAATACCTTACCCCATGTATCCTAATATTCCTATGACCATTGTGGTTCTTGAAGCTTGTGTGCCCCATCCTTCAGTAAACAAAATTTTATTTGTAATCATTTTTTTCTCCAAAGCCTGAATCTGATACTTTTGATATAGTTCGCCTTATGCATTTCTGTTCTCATATTGGCATCCTTGGTGATATTTAGCGCCCTCTGATTACTCCGCACATTTGATGGTGCTACATAGCCTTCCTGGTTTGGTGCCTTCTTTTGATAATTACTTACTTTCTCTAAAGCCATGAGTTGCCTGCCTGTACCACTCAGATGCATTACACACATGTTAGACCTCATATTTACTCACCAACTTTGTTAGGTATTATTATATTGCATTTACTTTGACTAAAATAGAAGATTGTAGTTTTAGACTTTGTCTGAAAGTATAGTGCACAGTACTTCTTGGGATGCTGCCTTGATACCTTGTCCTTCTTTTTCTCAACTTTGCTGGCAAAAATTTTTTCAGACCCCTACAGCAACATTTTTTAAGAGCAAGCATTTCAAGACATTAGCATAAATGTTATTTAAGCCTTGTCCAGAAAGCATGTTTTTGTCTGTATATTTTATGATGAGTGTATATATGCATGCATGCACACAGTTATATAATAAAAGATGAAGTGCAGTGTACAAGTTTGTGATGAGTATATGAGAGTAAATTTAAGATTTGAACTGCATGTATATAGTAAAAATGAAGTGAAACCGAATATGTAAATACGGTCTATAAAAAATGTAAGTAATTGCAATGTTTCTTTACCCAGCTCTCGGCATTATACAGACGAGTCACAATAACGTGGTTGAAGAGATTAGGACCAAACAACAACTCAAGATGGAGAAGCGACGCGGCTTCAGTCCGTCCTGGACTATTATCAAGTGACATGACTTGATCCAGGCCGGACCGTAACGTTGTCACTTCTCCATCTTCTGAGTGGTGGTTTGGTCATCACCTCTCGGCTTTAGTTGTACAATCTTTGAGTTGATTTGTTGGCTGTTGGGTTTTGCTTGAACTAAATAAAGCAAGATAATAAGGTGGATTTGAAAGTGTTACATGTTGAATAATCTGATCATTAGGACACCCAGCTTTTGACGGAAATGTAAATTGTGCGAGTGCTTAGTTGAATATTCATTTGTTTCTGTAAGTAAATTATAATTTTGTTAAACATTTAATATACAAATACTTTATTTTATTCAGAACAAAAAAATATAAATGGTTGAAATTACTTTTCAGACTTGTATCTAATAGGTTGTGAAACTATTTTTAATACACCAAGCCTGACATAACTCTATATTGATTTTTTTACTTTTAGTTAAGAGGGACCTTTACTACAAAGCCATTATTAATTCTGTTATGCATTCCGCGACACACTCATTGTTTTGTAGCATCGGTGGCAGCATCTGTGTTGTAGTAGAGAACAAAAAGCACTTGATCTTCAGAGTAATATTTATTATTTTGTTATGTACTACTTCGAGACTTGGCACAGATAGTCAAAATAAAGTGGTCTTGGTGACAGTTGCAGACTTGTACATGATGGCCTTGTCATGAGTTTTGGAACAATTATGAATAAATGTTGACAATGGTCATCCTGTTTTAATCACTTGCCTTTTTTCTGCCCATAATTCTTTGTCTTGAAGTGATGAATTACTTGTTAGTGGGGTTAAATGGATGCAAAACTGTACATTGTTTCCAAATATAATTTACAACTAGTACTGTATATAGCTTAGCAAAAACCATTACCACTTGTTTATAACTCATTTGATAGTGCTATAATG